TAACTTCGATTACAGAATCAAAAGTAAAAAAAAAAAAAAAGAATTTACAAAAAGTAAGTGTTATGATAAACGGAGAATAGCCAAAGCGGGCAATTTCGAGGCGTTACGTTTTGGAAAAGGAGGATTTTCTAACGCGCCGTTGCCCGCCTATAATTTGCTCGTTAAAGTAGCGATGTTTTTCAAAGTATCGATATGGCGTTTATTTGGTGCATTTGTCGACAGAGAGCTTGGTCACGGCATTGGATTCTCAGTTCACGTACACCGAGCCGGCCAGAAACGAGCCAGATCGCCAAAATGGCCCTGTTGTGTCCTCGGCGATGGAGGATTGCAACGAGCTGCTGGAACTGGCCGCCCAGGGTGGAATACAGTTCGTGCGCGCGACAGAGGACGGTCGTTACGAGGTGATGAATCATTCATCATCGATATCGAAGATTTTTCAGATTTTATCATATATATATATATACTTCTATGTATAATGAAATCCGATTTCTCGTGAAACGTGAAAGATTTTTATACATCGGCCACGATTTATCGATTATTTTACTCTTTCATCATGTATATTTTAATCTAAATAATTTTAATAGTTTTATGATCGAATTTTTGACTTAAAAAAGATCTCAAATACGGTTATGGAATATGATGAAGAGTATTTTAAGTTTATAATTTCTTTGAAGAATTTTAATAACACGATTAATTGGAGACAAATCTCGACATTCAGCGGCACAAAAATCTGTTGCGTGCATACAAAAAGTCACAAGAAACATTCAAAATAGAGTGATCATCGTTCGAAGAACGAAACGAGTCTCTATTCAAGCTTCTCTATTCAATCGTGTTTATAAAAGTATATTTTATTTCGCACAAAAATTCTCAATCTATGTTAAACACAATGATAGGAATGAAAAATCGTCGAAAAAATTCGATTCGATGATCAAGAATTTTTGTGATCGTTAATAATTTGAAGCGTTGAATTGTGCAACGTCGTTTTCACCTAAAGAAACAAATTACATGGTCTGGAGTTGGAAATTGTTATCCGTTTGTTAATTATTATTTCTCGCGATGATGACAGGTGATGACGAACAGCGAGGCTCGCGATCTGATGGCACAGAATTCACACGACGTGACCATTCTTGAGGGTGAGGAAGCGGATGCGATCAATGTTGTGAATATGCGCGGCAACGGGGAAGTTATTATCGGGGATTCCGATAATCAGATCATGGTGCTCGATTCCGCATCGACGCAGAAATCTATGCCGATGGACGGCATTGAGATACTGGAGGACAAGGATATCCGGATATTGGACAGCAAAAGCCTCGACGACCGTTTCGTGGATGGCATTAGCTTCCTCTCGCAATCGAAGATCGACGATCTGATTTTGGGTCCGAAACCTTTGTCCATCGATGGTGGTGTAACTGTCAACGACCACGAGGACGAGGGTGAGCTTTGTCCAAATTTTTTTTTGAAATCCTCTTTTTAATCTCCTAAGCTATTTGCATATTTTCCCTTTTCGAAAAATTTGTTTGAATTTTGTTTTTCGCAGCCATAGGGGTGCCTTCGAGTCAACAAGAGTTGACGAACATCCTCAGCCACAGAAGCGATATTTCGACGCTGTCGACCACATCTCAGCCCTCGATATCGTCCCTGTTAATGAAAAATCACCCACCCTTGTCGATTTTGAACGATACGCTTCCGTATCTGAAAAGCAACACCAGCTTAGCCGAAGATCTCAATATTCTAGGTAGTTCGACGATGGACGATCATCATTCCGTGTACGAGTCCAAGATAAAATTACCTTCCGTTTTTGACGATCCTGAACCAGACACTGGTCTGATACCCATCAATCAATCGGATATGAAGATACTCGGATCGGCAACTTCGAATAAGGTAAAATTTTCATACGTATTGGGTTGTTTAATATATTTTTTTTTAAACTGTTGTCTAATTAAAATAAATATGTTTAACGCTTTTGATCTTAATGAATAGATGATTTCCATATTTTTGAATTTCACAGGTCCTTGGCGGCAAGACAAATTGTCTACCGCCATCGAAATTGTTCCCCGGCCTGAACGAGGTGAAGATCCTGGGTCCGAAGAACCACAGCCAAGAGATCATGACTTCGCAGTATCAGGATATAAAGTTACTCAGCCCTTACGAACAGTTTTTGAAGAACACCGCCTCGAACACGAACGGATGCGACAGCGGCGGAGTGAACACTTCCGGTGGGTGTAGGAAGGAGGTGAAGATCCTGGGTAAGAAGTTGGGAACTGGCATTATCACCAGTACCGAGGAGGGCAACGTTGTGGAAGTCATCGAGGAGAAAACTAAGCTCGTAAGAGATCCCTTCAACGATTACCTTCAATTCGGCTCGTCCGCCAATTGTCGTGTCGCACTTGTATCTTTATAATATTCATCAAAATCTGGAATTTGTCGGAATTGAAGTTTCAAATATTTTCATATCGAATTCTCATCTTTTCCCTTTTCTTTTCATTTAGATTTCCGATCTTCCGTCAGGATTATCAAACTCGAAATCGAATCGACAAATTCGAGTATTGTATTTTGAGAATTGCTTTTGAGAAAATTAAATAAGGATATCGAATATTAAATTTTTTTATGTTACAGATGATGGACGGTCCAGGTCTTTGCAACCCCACTGACAACACGGTGATCTCATCTCCGCGTCTCGACAGGCAGATCACGGAGAATGGAGGGCCAGACAGCTTCTTGCTCCAAGTAAAGAAATACGAGTACGCTTACGATTAATAGACCGCTGAAACAGAGAATCTTTTCCACGATCCATGCAGGCATGTAGCCCGTGCGACTCAGATTTCCTGAATTTCGAGAACCGTTTGAAGGACACGTCGCCGGCCGGCCATTTTGAGCGAACCCAGAAGGATTCCAGGGATAGTTTCAGCTCTACCAGCGGTCTTCCCGATCTCGATTGAACGAAGAAATCGGGAACAGTCCACTCTGTTCACACTTCTCCTTGGCTCTCCTCCGTTGAAATTATCCAAGCTCGACGAGTGGAAAGGAAAAAAGAAAAAAAGGGAAAAAAAAAAAAAAAAAGAAAAAAAGAAATGTCGCCACGAGATCTTTAAATGGCTGTGAAGGATGGATGTGATTATTATAATTGATATGAAACTAGAAAATTAACGTCTCGATGTTGTTCGTTCGTCGAATTCGTTCTCAGACACTCGCGATCTAGTAGCGAACGGATGTGCATTTATTTTTTTTTCGATTTTTATTTCAGGATTTCCCTTAACCGATCCTTAAAACTAGTTTCGAATTCTTGTGAATTTTATTCCGAACGTCTTATATAATGTTAGTTCCAGAGGGTTATTCTCGGTATATAGTTTGCGCCCCGATTTTTCTTCTGCTTCGTTTCACGGTGTTTTTTAGGTTGACTCGCGAAACGAGTAAATTTTAGCACGAGAAAATTTGCGAGGAAGACACCGGAATGCTTTTAATCGATCGTATC